CCTATCCCAGGAGACGATTGCCAAAAACATAAATACAAGTTATGCGCCTTAAAAGGGTATTCAAACAGTTAGCTATGTAGGCTAAGACAGAATGTGCCTTGAGGGAGTTGAAAATTAAAAAGAATATCTATAAATTCATGCAACTGTAGATATTTATAATTTATGAGTCTGAGCTATGACTAAACAAACGAAGGTTGAAAAGAAGCAAAGGTCAAAGAAATATCCCATATATAAACGAAAATAAAAGTATAAAATTCAGGCAGAATTTTTAAAACTCATTCAGCCAACTGCGACTTCGCTGATTGATATTTGTATATGCATGAATTCATATTATTTATTTTTTAATAATTAAAAAACATGTACTTTCGACACTTGGAGTCTTTGGAAAATTGATTAGAATTTAAAAAAAAAAATTAAAAAATCAGCCAAATAATAAAATATATCTATCTAACTATATGCAGCCCTAGCCTAATTTTGAATACTTTATAAATTAATCAATTAATACAATATAGCAAACACATGAATAAACAGCGCATACTCTCTTGCTGGGGTTGTTCAAGATTACTTGATTACTTTTTCATTGCAAATAAATTATTAATTTAAAAAGGATTTATTGATCTTATATTTTATAGAATATTATAATACGTACATTGAGATTTGATTCCGATTTTGCTGCAAAAAAAAAAAAATAATAATAATTTTGCAAACAAAAATATTAGCAAAAGTTGTCTAAGAAATGCAAAACTAAGCTACGTTAATCCATTATAAAAGGAAATTGCTACGATAATGCGAATCCATTATAAACACGACTTACGTCAAATCAAGATTTGCTTTGCAAAGTAATTAAACAAGAAAAATGAATACTTACTTTGGCAGAGATTAGAGAATATGCCATATCATGACAATATGATATGATAATTTATCATCTGCCAATTTCGAGCTCTTAAGCACACTTCACATAGAGCATTCCAGCAACGACTTTTGGCCATCGGCATTTCCACAGCTGCTGCAGTTAGTGCAACTAACTGCACTTCTTCGCCGCAGCTTGACGACTGCCGAGAGTCCCAGCTCCGCATACCCTCAATCTATTAGCTGTGATGCGATTACCTTATAACTAGTTTCTGTGCTGCTGCAGCGGCTGCGGCTGTGGCTGCTGGTGTCTTGGTCTTGCATAACGCGTCGCTGGGCTGCCGCAGTTGTTGCCTTCTTTGGCTGCAATTTGGCGGCATCTTCGCTGCATCTTCTTTATTTTTTTTTCTTTGTGCTCTCTGCGCTTTTGTTGGTGTCTCGCGGCAAAAGGTTCGCGTAAAATCAAATATTTTTCCCGCGTTTTGCGCATTGAGGTTGCCACAAAAGTTTCCCATATCATAAAGTCTTACTTATTGATGGCATGACTTGGCTAATCTGATTGCTATTGCCAATTCCCATTTCTTCTCATTGAATGTGTGTGTGTGTGTGTGTATCTTTGTGTTGTATTTTGCAGACGCAATCGATGCCTGACGTTGATCCTAGTGGCAATGGGCCTGTGTGCCTGTGCACATGCTGCCGCAACGGGTGCCCCCACAGCGACGGCCACCACGGAGAAGCCAAAAGGCTTCTCGGCACGCTCCCTGGATGTGAGCGCCAGCGGCGATGATGATGACGAATTCGAGACGCAAGCACAGACACATTTGGCCTATCGGCAGCAGCAGCAGCAGCAGCGGCCACTGTACGAGTACAGCGAGGAGGATCAGGAGGAGGCGCCGCGCCAGGTGTACATCAATCGCAACAATGGCAGGCAGCAGAGCAACTATCTGAAGAAGCAGCCGCTGAGCCGCGAGGAGAGCGAGGAGGAGGAGGAGGAAGTCGAAGAGCCCGATCGTCTCTCCACGCTGCTCAGCAAATCCTCCTTCAGCTGCACAGACCGTAACTCTGGGTGAGCACTGCAACAACTCTCATTATTAGCAATTTAATTTATCCGAATCTTCGCAGCTACTATGCCGATGAGTCGCTGAACTGTGAGGTCTTCCACTACTGCCAGGAGAGCCAGAAGCATTCGTGGATCTGCCCCGAGGGCTTCACCTTCCATCAAATCCACTTGATCTGCATGCCCCCATCGCACGACAACATCTGCAAGCAGTCCTCCAAGTACCATATTGTCAACGACTATCTCTACAAGCCCATCAATCTGCAGGAGCATCAGAGCAAGCCGAACGTCACGCTGCGCTACTCCGAGCGCTATTTCCCAGAGAACTATTACGAGCACGAGCGCTACGACGASGAGGAGGAGGAGCTGCCCGCACCCCGTCCACGCATTCAGCATCAGCAACAGCAGCAGCACCGTCAAGCGATTGCCTACCAGTCGCAGCCACAGCCACAGCCGCAGCCACAGCACGCGCCCCAAGTACGCGTTCAATACCAACAGCAGCCTCAGCAGCAGCAGCAGCAGCATCACCATCAGCAGCAGCAACAGCAGGTTGTTACACAGATCAGACACCAGCCGCAGCCCACAACCATTGCCTATAGGAAGCCATTGCCCACGACAACCATACAGCCGCAGATTCAGCCACAGCTGCAATTGCATCAGCTGCAGCAACAGCATCAGCATCAGAGGCCGCAGACATTAGCGCCCACAGTGACACCGGCGCCGTATCGTTTCTTCACTGCCTCGCCGCTTCAGCATCTGCAGCAGCAGCAGGTCTATCGTACTCCAGAAGAGATTAACATATCGCTGCAGCAGCGCCGGCCCCAGGTATTCATTGCCTCCACAACGCCCCGCTACTACGAGGATGAGTACCTGTACGAGCGAAGGAAGTGAACGTGAGAGCCGAAGCAGCTGCTGTTCCAGCTGACCAGCTGAGCAGCCCAATGTAAACAGTCTTGTCGTTCCACGCCTTGTATGAGTTACCCTCTAGGCTTAAGCTGCGCCCACTTATCATGTACATTCTATAACAACTATATAGTCCCAAAATTTAGCGCGAGTTTTATGTACCTTATTTGTAATATTTAATGTCCTGCTAGAAGAATCCGCCTTCTAACTCATTTCGATAATAAAGTACGCAACGTTTTAAGTTAAGCATCTTCATTGTATATCAATTTCCATGTATTGATCTGCATTGGAGAGCTGCATGGCTTGGCTTTTGGTGCCCTCCTCCACGACATAGTTGGGTCCGACCAGACAGTTATTTAGCACCGAGCCACTCTTAACATGCGCACGATGTCCAATGATGCAGTTGTTGATATTGCAGCCCTCATCGACAATCGCATTGGCCATGATGATCGAGTTGGTTACAATATTCTTCGGACTCACAACACAATTGGCGCCAAACACGCTGCAGTTGAGCGAGGTCTTCTCCGAGAGCTTGGCGTTGTCCGCGACAATGATATCCTTGGTCTGTGTCGACTTGACCACAGCACCAGGTGCAATTAGCGGATGCGAGTCGCCGCATAGCTCCGTCCAAATGCCCGAGAGTTTGCGATTGATGGCCAGAAAACTGAGTGTCGTATTAACGCGCACTCCAATCGCCTCCTTTGGCGCTTGCACTGCAAAGCAGCGCACGACGTCGCCGTGGTAGGGTATATGCGACAGGGATTGATTGAACAGCGAGGTCTGTGTCAGTTTCTGATCCAGCGCCGTGTGCGTTACATACTGCATATAAATGACATTCTGATTGCGGCTCACAAATGAAAAGAGTATCATCAACTCACGTGCAAAATATTATCCTCATTCTTGGTGGCAACACCCACATCGGAGATAGTGTCCGGCAACGTTTTTGTCGAGCGCCTCGCATGCTGTTTGCGAATGAGATGTGGCAGAAACTCGCCTTTGAATGTTGAAATTTTCTCTTTCTGCATGAAATTAAATAATTGATCGTAAATTTAAATAATTTGAATAACAGATTTTTCTCTTGCCATACCCTGTGCAGATAATTGATCACCCATTTCTTGAGCACATAGATGTGTGCATCCAGCAGTCGCCCATACACATCCAGTTGTCCCTTGTTCTTGAGCAGATGACGCTGAATGTTAAGCGTATCCTCACAGTCGCTGGCAGCAAAAACAAATGCCAAACGCTGTGTGGCCGTATGAATGCCAATCATATCACGCTCTGGCTTGTGCTTCGTCTTGGGACCGGGCATAATGACGTCCGACTCGAAACCGCTCTTAAAGAGCAACATAGCCAGCGAAGCATCATCGGCACGAAACTTGTTGATCAGCGGATATAAGCTGACATTGGTAACGATATCACAGCTAACAACCAAGAAGTCCGATTTGATTCTGAAAGCGAATAGTACTAATTATATATTATGAATAAATAGTTAATATTAACTAGTTATACTTGTCGTATATGTAGCGCAGGCTGTCGGCTGTGCCGAAATCACTGTCACTTGGCACTGTCGCATAGTCGATTTTCACTTTAAGGTGCGTGTGCTCCAGTGCCACCTGTATCTCTAGTTTATCCTGTTCTTGCACCACAACAATTACCTCTGTGGGAAAAAATAACATAAGAACTTCACTAGATATTAATTATTATTTGCATTATTGATATTGATCACCTGTAAAGTTATGCCTGCTTAGCATATTGAGTGGATACCATATGAGGGGATACGGACCCACGGGCAGCAAACACTTGGGCGCATCGCCAAGCACTTCTGGCAGACGTGTGCCACGGCCCGCAGCTAAAACTACAGCTTGAAATTCGGAATTTGTCATTTTTATGCCAACACAATTATCAAGAGTATTTTAAATTGCCAACACGCTTGAGCGACGACGAAACAGCTGTTCGAGCAGCTCTTGGCGTTAACCAACACTGCTGCCCATGGGACATATGTTGCTGTCACATGACTGCATTTGCATTGTTTTTGCAATTGTATAAATCTAGTCAGATGACCCATTTTGTCCATTGAGGCTCCCATAATTTTATGCACTTTTCAGCAGAAATTACAACACTTTTGGAACAACAAAAGACTTTAATGTATGATTTGAGCGCTACATAACTACAAAATTGGAATACATACATTTTTCTTATTGGAATTAGACTATATACTTTAAGCTTACAAAGTTTGCAGTAGCTACATTTTACATACAATAAGTTTTTGTTTGGGGTTTTCTTTTGCGGTTGAAAAATGGAAACAGAACAAATATTTTTTCTTGAAGTTTAACAATAACATATTGCTGGAATACACACACACGTAGACACGTATGGGATTAATACTTAGAAGAGAACATCATCATCGCCCTCATCGAGGATGTTCGTCTGCTGACGAACATCGATGCCCTGTTCAAGAAGCTCTGCTTTCTTGGCATCTGCCTTCTGACGGGCCTCACGCTTCTTGTCCTGAATCTTCTTCAAGCGGTAGAACTCCTCACGCTCAAGCTCATCCAGCTCCGAGATGATGTACGCCAATGTACGATCGATACGAGGTATGATGACATGCTCAATGGCATTGACACGACGATTCGTGATCTTGATGACCTCGTCGAGGGTGACGAAGGAGGTCTGGAGTGAAGCCAGTTCAACGAGCAGCTTGACGGCGCTCTGGTAGTTCTTCTTCAGTTTGGCCAGCTGTTGACCACCACGGGCCAGACCAGCCAGCTCATAAGTATCAGCGCCATCCTGATAAGACTCGAACACGGGCAGCGTAACACCAGCGACGTTGTCTTTCTTGGTACGTATCTTGATTTGGGCTTTGGTCACGTTTTGCAGCACCACCTGATTGATGTCGCCCGATGTGAACTTGGCTTCGGCCAACGAGAAGGCGGCCTCTTTCATAACATCGCCCATCAAAGTTTTCGTCTCGATGATTTTGCCAAGAATCATACGGAAGCGCATTTGCAATGCATCAGCTTTTTTCTTCAACAGACCATGACCTTTCTGAGCACCCGCAAGACGGGCCTTCATTAACATTTGGGCGCCACGAGACGGGAAAATCGGTAATCTATCTTTTCCAGACATTTTCGTATAATTTTAATATTTGTACAGGGTTATTAGCTCGATTTTTTTTACTGCGCACCACAAATTTTAACACACCCGTCGAAGAACACTGAAAAACTCCAACTGGACTGGATAAACACAGTGTTGACTAAGCCTCAGAAAATGAAGTGTTGGACAATACATTGTAGAAGCAGTAATGCAAAATGTTAAAGAAAAATACCTTTGTTCTATAATTACAACATGTTTTAACATGTTACTGTAACATAAGTTAGCAAATATTTGTAAAACAACTATGTTTATTAATTTAACTTTGTTGTTAATTATTGTTGTCACGCATTTGATGTAGTGGCTTCAGTATCGAAAAGGTAGTGCTGCACAAGGGCATGTAGCATTAGTGTTGAGTAACATATCATAGAAACAGCTGTTTAATAAACATCTGTAAACAAAGCAGTGGCGCTAGCGGCATATTTATAAATAATGCAAATTTTGCAACGTTTGTTTTGGTCATCACTAAAAACAATACAAACATACTGCCGTAACTACGCCAAAAAACCAAAGGGAGGCATGGCACACAACCGACGCATGGTGCACAAGGAATTGCTGCGTTATGTAAACCCATATGCATGCATTAATATCAAATCGGATATCGCCATCCATGTGGAGCCCGCCGATGTCCATGTGTACACCAGTGGAGATGTAATTATAGCCCAGCTAACTGGTGGTCCTGTGTCCAACTCAAATGTCGATCTGAATATGGATGTTGAAGAGGACGACAAGGTTGTCAATGTCTTGGTTAAAAAGCTAAACGAACAGAAGTCGCATTTTAAATGCCTTCTAAAGATTCCCGTGCGTGCCGATGTCAACCTGGAAGCAAAAGAAAAAGTAACCATACAGGGCATACAAGGCGAGGTACTTAAGATCAAGGCAGGTGGAGATATATTCACCAGGAATGTACGAGCCACAGAAATATCGCTGAACAGCGAAAATGGCAACATCATCTGTGAGGGAACACTGCTGGGCAAGAGCACCGAAATCGAAACACAGAACGGAGTAAGTAGCTAATATAGCCAGTGTCCACAATATAATTTATGTATTGCTGCTCAGAACATCAATCTGGACAAGCTGCAGGGTGACAGCCTAAAGTGCTCCACACAGGCGGGTGACATTAATACAGACTGCTGCTACGTAGAGAAATCAAAGTTTGAGACGACAACGGGCAGCATGGAGCTTAAGAATGTGCACAAAACTAGCGAAGTATATGTTCACCAAGCGGGTGATCTAAAGATGAGTGAGTATGGACATTTTCTTATCCACGAAATAATTCAGAAAATCTCTCTTTTCTAGCTGGCGTCCATGGAAACCTGAACGTGTTCTCTAAAGGCGGCAGCATGAATCTCCAGCTCTCTGAGCTGAATGGCAAAAGTGAGATTGTGGCACAGAATCTTATTGACGAGGCCATAATCAATATATCCGAGGCAATAGAGAACATAAATATAGAAGTTAAAGCCAGTCAGGTTAACCTAAACAACGAGCTGGACCATGTCTCCCATGCATTGAGCGAAGACAAAAGCAAATTTTTACTAAACAATGAGAATGAGCATCATCTGGTCATTAGCACCACAGGAGAGAATGGAGTGCGTCTTGGCAAGCAATCGTGGACCGATATGCTGAGGCAAAAAATGAAATCGAATGAATAAATTTAAGATATTACAAATATTTATAGTATCTTTCATTATGAATGTATGTACGTATGTATGCTCGTATGTATGTATATAAGTAGTTATAAGTATAAGAAATATGTATTAATATGTATGTATTGTGCATTCATGCAACAATTTTTCAGTCCTGTTTTTATGAGTATTATTTGGCTTTGCCAGCTACTTCGTTTAAAACCACGTCAAGGCGTTGATGTGCCCTCTGAATCAGTACATCATCCACCTGTTCCGTCTGCAAGGCAGCTCGAAACATATCCACTTTCATAGCATCAATTTCTTGTATATCCCTAACTAGAATTGGAACATCCGCGCGGACGAACATGTGCGCCAATAGGCGCAACACTTTAAAAGCGTTTTCTTCGTACTGTGAACGAGGCTCATCCTCGTAAGCTTCAAAATCATTTTCATCGTATTCGGTATAGTCTTCTATATGCTGACGTAATATTGTCCACACGCCAAGTAAATGGGCAAAGGCAGCTTTGTCATAGAAATATTTAAGACACTGCAAAAGCAATTAGTTTTTAATTTAAAGATTTTCATTATTTGTATGTATTTAGCTTACGCTGCATATATGCGCTAGGTCCTCCAGATACTCCTCCTGTCGCTCGCCCAGTGGCAACAGCTGATTGGGCTGCTGCAGGAACAGTAAAATGCGGGTCAAACAAAACATAATGCTGGGTGTATACACATCCATGGACATCTGCGCCTCCGGCAGCTGCACCAGTATCGTGCATATATTGAGGTAGGTTTGAATTACTTCGATGTCGCAGTTTATTTTTGGTGTACTCATCTCGTCCCCATCATCGTCAATACCATTTGGATCGACGGTGATGGGTGCCTGATCGGTAACGATTCCATCCACTTCATCCGCCTGCTTTGCCGAATCATCACGCATTAGACGAATAAAAGCATTGTTAACGCCCTCGCAAAGCTCCTGTACTAAAAATACTTCCGAGAAGGGCTTTAACTTGAGATCCGGCGTCTGGGCGTTCTCCTCCTCGACCAGGGCACAGCTTGCCAGCACAGCATTGATGGCTTTAAGGGCGGCCAAAAGGAGTTCATCGCTCACTGACTGCTGCAGTATAAAGCCGAGATTCTTTGCTGAGCCCTCGAAGGCGGCAAAGCAAATGTACCACTCTATGGCCAGTTGCTCCTTGCCACTGACCACATGTGCCATCACATATTGATATACACGCATCAACTGGATCAGCATGCTCGTGTCCATGCAGGTGCTTAGCTTCAGCAGCATTTCAATCCAATCAGCGCGTGCCGTCAGCTGCTCCACACACTCCACTTGCGCGCACATGTTCCCCAGCAGTCCAATGAGAATCTCATACAGACGCACATCCTCGCTAGAGGAGATGGCAAACATAATTAGCTCGATGGCATCATTCTCGAGTAGCAGAGCAACTACTTCCGGGGAGACAGACATATCCCACACCTTGCACAAATCATCCTCTAACTCCAACTCCAATGCTGTATGTGGTAGCTGCTGGCTGAGTTGCATCAATGTCTGTAATATAAATTTCTTGCTGAACATTGTCTCGCCAACAGCATCACCACGCATGCGCATTAACAGCTCGTTCTCATCAGCATCCGAAGCATCATCCTCATTGTTTTGAATTCCGTGGGGTTGGGGCGAATTCGACTCCGATTTATTTTCACCATTTCCAGTGCCGTTTGTCTCCGATGCAACAGCCTCGTTCGATTTAGTCTCCATCCGAATTAGACCGTTTGTCTCGTTATTAACGGTAACAGCATCAATATTATTATCTCTTTCCGCACTATCCACATCTTTGGTCATTTTGGCTGGTGTCTGGCGTCTGGGCTCCGGAATAAGTTCGATCGAGTGGTTCACAAAAGCGGAACTGAAATGAACAAAGCTGTTTACTGTTCAACCAATTCGATAAATTTAACATTTCTGTTAACTTTCAAAAGCTTGGAGTGCATTAACAGACGGCGATTTGTTCATAAAATTTTTCAATTATAATGCCAATTATAACTTTAAATTCTTATAATATTGCTATCCTATTTCATTTTAAGCTCGAGTCTAAAAGTTCTCAAAGCAGTTTTGATCTGAGCCAGGCAAATTAGTTTAAATTAAATTAGTTTTTAAATTTTTTTAACTAGGTTTTTATTCTAAACGCTGTCTTTTAATAAACACATCCAGTAAATGAGAAATGGGAATATCTGCAGAGGTTGGCGGTTGCGGAGGCGCAATATTATTGCGATGCTGTGGAAATGTGGGCATCATGCGCGGATCACAAGCTACACAAAATAGAAATGAATTTATTAAAAATAAGTTGTAATATATATACAAACTCGGCTTACGCTGTGGCGGCTCAGTAAAATATTTACTGTTCAAGCAGTCTTCGGCTGTGCCTCGCGTGCTGGGATTGTAGATGAATAGCGAGTTTAGCAGGCTTCTGCCCGCTGGACCAATCATTTGGAATTTCGTTTTTAAGTTATTGTACGGCTGTTGGCTAAACGTAAAGTTCTGTACGGCAGGCAAATCTTTATAGCCGGGCCAAATCGATTCCGATGGAGCGCCAAGCAGGTCAATAATCATGTCTAGCTGTGCAATTTCCGAGGTGCCCGGCAGCAGCGGCTTTCCTAATAACAGCTCTCCCAGAATGCAACCGAAAGCCCACATATCAATCGACGTCGTATGAGTTCTAGAGCCTAGCAACAGCTCCGGTGCACGATACCAAAGGGTGACCATTTGTGGGGTCATTGGCTTTGGGGGGTCGCCAAACAAGCGAGCGAGGCCAAAATCAGCTGAAATTGAGATTGTGTTTATATATGATGTGTGACGAAGTATCAAGTTCAGCCCATACTTACCCACTTTGATGCAGCCTTTGTCCGTCATTAGTAGGTTGGAGACCTTCAGATCTCGATGTATAATATAACGTTCATGCATATACTTCAAGGCGCGCAGCACTTGTAGCGTTATGCACTTCACCTCCGATTCCGTAAATGGCTGTGACATATTATCCAGCACCGAAGCGAGATCCTGCTCACAGAAATCCATTACCAAGAAGATGCTAAGCGAGAGAATATTACAATTTACAGAAGTCTCTCAAAATCGTCTCTTCCTCTTACCTGTCCAGACTTTTGCCCACCACAACTTCTCGCAGTCGTACAATATTCTCGTGCTGACAACGCTTTAGTATCATTATCTCACGCAGTCCACTTACAGGCAAGCCATCCTTCTCCTGGTCCATGCGCACTCTCTTCAGAGCCACAATTTCTCCACTGCGAGTGTCGCGCGCTCGATCTAAACAAAACAGATTCAGTAATGGTGCGAGTACAATTCATTTAACTATGCACTTACATACAATACCATAGCTGCCTTCGCCCACGCGGTTGAGCTTCTCGAATTCGGAAACTGGACGGCAACGGCCATACTGAAAAAAATATTGATAAGGGAATAGAAAAAGCCGGCACATGACAAAATGCTTATTTAATACAAACCACATTTTGTTCCGGTATGGGCATGGGCGTGCCGCTGTTCTTGAGTGATATTAGAAAACCTTTGCGGGTTATTGGTGCTTGAGGATCTGGCGCAGGATTTGTATCCAATTCATTTGACTTCTTGTCGCTGGACATGTTTATTTTGTTTTAGAATGGTTGAACGACATAAACATAAAACATAAACAGCTCGGAAGGAATCGATACTTTCTCAATTACTGCAAGAACTGTGCTGCGGAAACCAGGGATACAAACACAAAACTGTTATCAAAGTGCGCGAAATGTAGAGAATTTGAAATGTTGCTGGTACTTTTGGTTATTGTGAAAATAGTAAATATATTTTATATTTAAATATATTTTTGCACATACTAATTATGTGAAAAAAACAAGAAAGCAGAAACTGCGTATGCATTTCATAATATTCACTAATTTATAGATCAGCATAAAAACAAAAGTAGCAATAGAAAATATAAAGCACGATTTATGGAAAGTGAAATTCCGCCAGTTTAAAGAAATTTCGTTAGCATTTCATTTCAAATGCATGCTCTAGACATTAAGAAAAAAAAAAAAAAAAAACGGACCCTGCTCGTCATCATCTACCAGCTACGCATGTGTTAAAAGCTGTTGGATAAAGCCACAATGACTCTACTATCAATTATCACCCTGAACTTGGGATAAGCAACAACAGTAAAACGAATGGGCAGAGGTATATAAATGTTGGACCTGGCGTAGAGTGCATCATCAGTTCTGCAGCAACTGTGCAAGTGATACAGTGATATACAAAAACACAGGAATATAAACTCAAGAAAATAATGAATAAAACAACGATATGGTATGCGGCGGTGCTGCTTGTGATCTATTTCACTTTGGTGTTCTGCGATGAAACGCCGGAAAATGCTGAGACTCAAGTAATGAATACGAACTCGGATATGGATATGGAAACATTACTTAATACTGGCCGAGAGCTTTTGGAATTCGAAGGACGCACACGTCGTCATCGCCATCGCCTATGGTGTAAGTTTCTACTATACAATTATTACTATGTAAATATTGGGTGCCTGTAATTGGACAGCATCGATTCTGGTGTCAATTGCAGTCTATCGATATATTGCATTTATTATTACTATGCAATAGTTGAGCGGTAACAATTAGCACATTTTAAATATGTTTAATCACATTCTAAGCTATTTGGTTGTCCACCTGCTAATCAGCAAGTGAAGACTTTCTTTTTGAAAGTTTCCCAGCCCAGTCAGTGGGCTGGTCATATGTATATCGCTTCCAATTGGAACATCACGATGTGCACGTACCGTTCAATAATAATCAATTAACACTTTTCACTTTCAATCGGCGCCACAATTCGACAATTGTAAATTGTCGTAGATCAGTAGACCAGCATTGGGTTCTGTTCGTGTTCAGTGAAAGTGTTGTCTTATCTGTTATCTAATCAGATTTGATTTTCATTTATAGTTCGCCATCTGTGGCCATTGGCCATTGCCTATTGGATCAAGGTGAAAGTAGTCATCGTATCTTTCTTTGTGGGTAGCGCCATTTACTTGGGTCTGCGCTACTTCTGGCCCCACGCCCGATGCAATCAGGAGGTGATTCTTGATCATCCGTAAGCACTCAATCTTCCAATCATTTTATCTATATTAAATTATTTTTGTGTTCAGCCCTCCATCCTTTACCCAAGATCATATTCCATACTCTCTTGAACATCATCATGAGCATGAGCATGAGCATTATGGATCACCTTCCTCGTACGACCCGAGTCCCTCTTTTGATCCCTACTCGGGCTACTCCAGCTACTCGGGTTACTCTTCCAACTCCGATATTGTGTCTGATATACACAGCGACTCTCCACTTAGTTCTGCACCAAGTGGGCCGACTGGACCCGCTGATGGTTCTAATACGCTTCGCCGTGGCAGACGTAGCGTTGATAGCTTCGACGTACAGGATAATGTGGAAGTTGATCAGGAGGATCATGTGGAGATTATCGATGAGGAGATCTCTGAGAGTGTTGCACGCCAGCAGCCCGCCGAAGAACAGTGAGCAGCAGTTGAAGATCATCTAATCCGATTTATTTATAAGCTTTATTTCTATTATAGAATCGCCGAGTTTATGTTCGCATTTTTGGGTCTGGACTCCAAGGCTTGCCGTCGTCGCTTCGTCTGCGAGATGGAGTTCCGCTCAAAGCTGAATCCGCTGACCAGCATGGCATTCCGCATTGTTGGCCGCGGCTTCTTCGAGAAGTACACCAATTCACGCAATCCATATAAGCGAGCTACCAACTTCCAGGAGTGCGCCGCAGTGAATCCCGACTGTGTGTTCGTGGAGAGCGCAGAGCCAGAGATTACACCAGCTGCTGAAGAGGAAGAATCCACAGAAGCCAGCGAATCAACCAATCAGGAAAGCACGGCCGAGGCCCAAAATGAAATCAACTTGCAGGCCGAACGTCGCCTGACGCAGCTGAAGCGTCGTCGCGGAGATCGCATGCTTAGCCCCATTGCCGAACACATTTTGACACAGTAGAACTCCAATTACTATTTATTTATTTTATTTATTTAATTATTTATTTTAGCTATAAGAATGATGAACAAAATAAACTTGCCTCAGCTTAAAAAAAAAAAAAAAAAAAAAATTTAAGCTTAAAAAAAAAAAAAAAAAAAAGAGTTGAAGTTATTTGTTCCGGAAAATGCAATCAAACAAATGCTAAATTTGTAACTCAGGTTCGAAAATCTCAGGAGCGAAATTAAATAGAAAACAAAAAGAAAGGAAAAGAAAAGGATTAGATGAAAACCGAATACCGATGGTGACTAAAATTTGTAAGAGCTAATTTAAGTCTTTTTGACCTTTTTCTTTTTAATTGCATTTATCTGATCGGCCATCTGCTCGATCTCTCGCTGATTGATGGGCTCGTTCTTGCGGACGGCCGCCTTTCCCTTCTGCCTTTGGGCGATATCTGCGACGATGTCGTTCAGCTTGCTCCACACAAAGCTGAGGAAATTCACAGCCAAGTCCTGTTTGAAGAAGGCAATGGCCACCAGTGCAATGAGCACCAGTGCTGATATGGAATTCTGATTGAGATCAGCGTCAGTGGAGCGCACCTCGGCATTGAAATCCAGCTTCACATAGACGGAACATCTGTCCGCCACAAAGGTGAAGGAGGGCAGCTTGTAGGAGTAGGTCTTCTCCGAGAGCGTCGATTGCAGCTCCACCACATAGGTCTTGCCATCGCGCGGTATACGCGGGAAATACACCATAATGCCCGGATTGTAGCTAGACTTGGGATTTAACGGAGACGCCACGCGCTGAGAAAACACCGGCGAGTCGGAAGCTCCTTGCTTGTACATCACAATGCGCAACGTCTTGTAGAAATCGTTATGTGAGGCCATAATTCTGGCCGTAATATCCACAATTTTGATAGGATTAACAGCAATCAAATTTATATTTCGCACATCCTCATTGGCAACGGTAACCGTGTGGTTTTTCGGTATCGAGCGATACACTTTGTCGTCGTCCGTCACCACGCGTACGGTGTAGGTGCAGCCGGGCTGAAGACCCCGAATGCGATATTGTCCATTAGTTTCGCTGAATGCCTCCTCTTGCTGATGCTGGCAGCTCTCTGTTGCGATGGCCTGTACATTAACCTCCGGGAAGGGATCGCCATTGAGGGATGTGATTGTGCCGAAAATAGAGTAAGCATAACGCGTGCCACTGTAAAAGGTAGTCCATTAATAGGAGTTATACAAATTAGCCCTCAATAGTTCTTACGTTAGGGTAACCTGCACGGTTTCGCCATCTTTGATGTCAATTATTTTGGAATTCGGCTCGAATTTGTATTCCTTCATCATGGGCCGCAGGAAGTACTGTGAAGGCGATAGCGAATGGAAATTGATGACGCCTTTGTCTCCAGTGACCAGATTCTTGCGATAGCTTTCGCCGCCGCTTAGCGAGAGCAACACTCCGCTCAGTGGCTGACCGGCATCGTCTTGTACTTTCACCTCAATCTCACAGAGTTTGTGTGCGCTGAAGGAGTTCGACTGGCGATTGTATTCGCTGAATACATAGGATTCCTTCTCAGCGGAGAGCTCGAATTTGAGCGTCTCATCGATAGGGCCAAATTTGAATTCACCTGTAATCGAGCTGAGCACTTCAATGGGTTCAAGTTCTGGTTGCTCGGGAAAACTCAGCGTTATCTTGGCATCCTTAATTGCGGGCACAATTTTGCCGCGCAAGATGAGTCCTCGCGTGGCCACAAAATTGAAGGCAATATCAACGCAATCACTGCTGCCCACGATCTGCTGATGCTGTGGCGTAAACAAAAGGACATCACTCAATGGCTTAACGTTCAGAATTTCCTCTGGCTTCAGATATGTCTCGTAGCGGAATGCGAATTTCCCATCCACCTTATGCGCCTCAGCTATTGGTGTAACGATTTGTTTACCCAGCGATTGCGATTCCACAGCTAGTTTCAGAGAATCCAAATTGGGGTCTGTGGACAGGACACGCACGCCCGTCTTGTGGGCAATGGCATTGACAATCAACGTCTGCAGCTGATCTGGTTCTGGAGTGATGAATTTACTGGGCAACGAGTCATCGTAAATGTGACAACCTTCCAGCTTAAAGTCGTAGCTGCCGTATTTAGAAACGCAGAAGGTGTTCACGCCTGAAAGAATCTTCAGGGTTTCAATGGGCGCCTTGGGCTCCGATGGTCCAGTGACATGAACGTAACGCATCTGTAATCAAAAGAATAATTGTCAGTGGAGAAAATAAACAGAAATATATTACAAAAGTTTACCAGCGCGCGATGACTAGATATAATGGACACTTCGTAGCCCTTGTGTATGAAGGGCGGCGCCGTCTCCTCTGCAGCGGCGACATTTAGGAAGACTCGCGTCGATTCATAGCACAGATTACCCTGAGGAATCGTTATCTCATAGGGACCAGGCAGAACATCCTTAAAAGCATATTTGCCACCTGCACAGAGGAGCTCGTTAAAACAGATGCGACTTGGAAAATTAAATTCTATACTCACGATATGCCCTGGCCTTCCATTTGTTGTCCGTGGGCTGTCCGGTGGCATCTAGGCCCTGCAGCGTAATCTCTGCTGAGGTGCAAGTGGCCGTGGCATCTGGCAGGCACTGCAGCTCACCTCGAATGGTGGCACGCAGCTGCGAGAAGGTAATGCCATTTAGTGGTGCATCACGCACTTCAGCCTGCTGTTGCACAGGGAAGAACTGAACACCGCTCGTCTTATCCACTTCCGTAGTGAGGACTTCAATGTTGTATTTGCCGGCGGGCAGATAGGCACACCAGATGCCGCTCTCTGCCTTCGTGGCAGTTGTCGTATGGAAGGTGGAGCCGATTTTCGTGATGCCAACGACATAGGATTTCGGAGAGACGACTTTGCCGCACACTTCGTAAGCGGAAGGCACAATTGTGGGCAGTTTGGGCGTAGCAATCTGCGTCTTCACCTGCACCGGCTCGAATTGCAGCTGTGGATACTCGACTTCAATGTTGTAGCTGCCCGCTTTAATGTTCTCCAGCGTATATGTGCCAGTGGCATCTGTTTCGGCGACCTTTTCCTTGTTGAGCTTGACAATGGCAGACTTAAGTGGTGCACCGTCCGCGGAGCTCAGCACCTGGCCAGAGACAGTAAAGCCGCTAATCTTGAACCCCTCTTTGATCTGCAGCGTATCCTTGCCCAAGTCCACCTCCAAAAAGCTCGGCGTCAGATGAAGTTTCAAGTTTTGGTTCTCGTTAACGGCCTGCAGCAAGTACTTGCCTGTGGGCACATCCTTGAAGCTATATTCACCCTTCTCGACCAGCGAATAGCAAGCGGCAGCGCTTTCGTATTCATTGTTGAGCTTGTTCGCCGGCGCAGTGGGCGAATTGGCACACTTGATCGGTAGAGTTTGCTGTGGGAATGAAGAGAAGAAAAATAATATATCATAATATAAAAGATTAGACTGTTTATCTACTTACGCCCTTTTTCTTATAGAGCACCACAGCGAGATTTGACGGCAATTGGGAGCTGGTATCGAAACGTCCATTGATATCAAAGCCAGATACCACCAAGGAGTTAGCCGGCAGCTCCGTGTTGCCACTGACCACAACCACATTGTGCTCCGCCTTGGCGAAATGCCATCTGGCATGGCTGGCACGCACCACATATTTGCCGGGTATAATTGGTGTAAAGAAGAAGACACCATTGATGTCCGTTTTGGTGCGGCGAATGTCGCCCTGCTCCGATTTCAGCTCCACATCCACATCCCGTGCACCGCTACCGGTGGCTAGAACCACCTTGCCCGTAATGCCAAAGCCCTTGAATACGAAATTAACATCTTTGCCCTGACTGCACACGTCATTCTTGCCATCGAAATTGAGCTCAACGTGTTCCGGCTCGAAGCTCCAACCGGGAGGTGGTGCAATGCTTAGCAAATATTCACCCTTGTCATAGATGGGCAGGAAATAGTAGCCATTCGATGGTGAGCAATCGGTTTTATCCTTCAGTGAGCCCTGCTTGGTCAAGCTGAAATCGAATTGGAAAAAATTCTTATCAATGATTTACACTTCCATTAATGAAAGTCACCACGTACAGTTTTATTTCCACCTTGGAAAAGTCAATTTCAGCATGGCTTTTGATGAAGCCACCACAGCCGACCACTTCATTGGACTGTGCGTTAATTTGACTAATTAAATTAATTAAAATTAATATAAAGCCGGAAAACTGACTTCGCGACCTCATTTTTTTTTCGACTCTGCGCTGCCAGCTGAAAGTGTAGAGCTGTCGAGTTAGTTGGAAACACAGCTCTGATAAGCATAATATATCGATATATTGCATCCCACAGGTGTTGCGATAGATTGCCAAATAGTGCTGCCGATAGCTTACTTCGATGTCTATGAGATGTTAAATCAATTTTAAATTCTAAATAATGCGATTAAGACAAATAAATTATATAATATAATGTTATATTATTATACGTTATTAAACTTTGTATAAATTGAAAGCCGTATGAAAAATTGTTATTCGACGATGAATTATCAGTTACCGACTACAAATTGGAGATGAACATAGAAGAGCTGTGCAATATCGATAACATTTAATAAGAAGTATCGACTTGGCGCAATTTATTGTCACATTCAAAGGCTGTGATAAAATAAATTGAACCATGAGTGTAATGTTTTTGTGGAAAGCAACATTTCGCAACATTTTCAAATGAATGCTAATAATTAATAATTCAAATTCTTCGTTCAATTAAAACGATCACAAACGCTTTTATTATCTTATTGTCATTTACGGTGTGTGTACGTACATATCTCTGAATGATTAGGACTATATGCAATCTATTGACATTGAAATCATTTGATTGTTGCAGAAATAAGCTTGTCAGATATTAATTATCGCAACGAATTTTAATTACGCTGAACTACGTACGATACAGCTCCAAGTGCGAGCCAATGTGTTGGGAATATGCTTTACATGTATGTATGTATGTATGTCTATGTTTGTTCTGCGCAGTTAAGCGATCTGCCAGGCAGACAGCTCAGAGACAGATAAAGCGAGACAAGCGCCGAGTTGTTCACAAGAAATTCATTTCAAGCATCGTTGAGCTGCGGATTGCCCTCAGTGCCTATAAATTTTGACCGATGATGGCGCGATAAATACATATGTACTTATGTATGTACATATGTATGTATTGGAAAAAAGAATAAGAAAGAAAATTGAAACACTCATGGCACACAGACAAAGCCGCATAACTGTAAGCTATAAACGAGCAATTGTACATATAAAATGTCTGAAGTGTGCAACATCAATTACTGACATTGACTTTGAATTGCCGAGGCGAAGCAATTACCCATTGCCATATTCTATACAGACAAATATGTATTTGGTTTAAGTGCAGTCCGATAGCTGCATTAACCGGAAGTGAGCGGCAACTGTCAACTGTCAACTGTCAACTGTCACTTGCTGGGCGCCATTTTGGTTGGCTCGACGGACTGACTACCTGTCCTAGCCATCAATTCAAAACTAATTAGCTGGCCACAGACCGAGGTAGCGCCTGCATGTAATCCACACGAAAATATAGACAGCCAGACAATTTGTCGAGACAGTAGCATAACACATTAATTTTATGGCCGGGTATTATTAGAATCTAACAAAAAAAAAAAAAAAAAAATAGAAAGAATAGAAAATAAATCTGCTGGGTTGTCCATTTGGGCAGATAAGCCAGTGTCATAGAGATTCGCATTAACTAAGTAAGAATAAATATCATTTTAATGAAATGCACAATATACCTTATCGCCTTATATAAAGTCATATGTATATATGTATATACATACATGCATCTGTCTATATATTTATAAAATTAAAAAACTGGCAATTCACGATGCGGCGATTTGGCATTTGTGCTGCATTTATTATAGGGGTCGTTCGATTATCGCTTAAAGTCAAATAACATCAATATTTCGGGGTGTGTTTGTGTCATATATAAATAATAAACCATGGACTTTGTTATCAACCCCCCTACAGTTAAGAAATCCATAATAACCGAAAACAGGAAAAAAAAAAAATCCCCTCGCAAAAAAGAAACAGCAACTACTACGCAAAATTTAAAACAGAGCATACCACACATTCGCACGCACATTTGTTCCCACACGAACTGTTCCCAGCGATCGCTTGCGTATCCAGGCAGCGGCAGCGACAGAGACACCCCATTGCGGTTGCCAAAATAATTGGCAAAACGCGCTTCGCTTCCCTGCGCGCTCAGCTTGACTCTGCTTTGCTGYGCTCTGCTCTGCTCTATTCTGTTCCCGATTCTGTTGTGCTCATGCGGAGAGCGCGTGCCAAACGCTACCGCGGGCCGCGGCTGCGACGCCGCTCAAGGCAGCAACGCAGACGCCGAGTCAGCAATCAGTTCAACGCAAGTTGCAGCCGCTAACAGACGTATTTAGAGCACGTGCGTACCAGCAGCACAAAGAGTATAAATCTTGTAGTTGGTTCTTTTTTTTCCCGTTTGTTGCTTTTGGCCATTGCCAGTGGAACACGTGCAGGGTTCTAGCTAAATATAAAACAAGATATTTTATCGAGCTACTGATAAAACGTCGTTGTAAAAATACAAGAATTTTCGATACAAGATCTAGTGCAACAACAAATAAAACTCGTTTCGTTTAGTTCGCAAGTGCGGCCCATTAATAACGTAAATATATAAAATAAAAAGTGTAAAAATAAAAGCAAACTTTGAAGCAAAAAATCTGCAAGGGCTAAGTGCAAGTGCAAAAGTTGTTATTGTTGTTGTCGATCTTGTTTGTTGTGCTCGAAAGACAGACAGCAAGAGAGTGGGCGAGAGAGAGAGAGAGAGAGTAAGAGAGCTGTAAGTGCACTTGACAGTTGGTGCTGCAGTTGACAGTAGCTGACAACATTCCAGCTAGAAAGAGTCTCTAACGAGAGGGAGCGAGAGAGGGAGAGAGAACAATTACAATTATGTCAGCTGAAACACTTAAACCGTTTATAACACCAACGAGTGCCGTTAATACATTTCCGGCCAAGCAATCAAACGGAACGCACTCGACAAGGAAGCATATACCAATTGTCTTAAGCATTGTCGCACTCGTTCTCATTGCTCTTATCTTTACTTATACGGTATGTATTTCACATGCAACTAATATTAGCGAATGATTAAGCACCTTAATAACTTAATTGATAGATTATGGCTGCTTATCACGCATGTGCAAGCTCATTAGATTTAATCAAATCAAATGCTGCGACATCAGCATTGACTATACTAACGTTTAGCTTTATGAATTCCCGTTTCATAATTCCACAAGAAATATATAAATAAATAAGAAGAAGAAAATCAAATTAAAATTAAAATTAAAATTCCAATTCCAATGCAAATCTATAAAGCTCGTTTTACGAAGCGTGACCGTCAGGCATTTAATTTGGCACAAGCTATAGCTATACCTAGAAACTCTATAAAAATACATTTAAAGAAGAAGAAGCAGCAGCAACTGAGTCAGTGGCAGTGGAAGTAGGTAGAGCTAGAGCTGGTCAGGGTGCTGGCCAATAAAACCCGTCCCGTCTCAGATCAAAATCGAAGCGTGTCTCTGACCAAATCGTTTCCTAATGATCGTCATAAAACCGAACAGAAAGAGCTAGATGATAGGTATGTATGAGAAGGGAAGCTATAAACAGGGGAAGTGAATACATAGCGAGGTGCTAAGAGATGTACTGTTTGAAGTTAAAGTGGTAGCAAATGCTTGAAACTGTTTATATAACTGAACAAATCCAAAAAATACTAAATTAGGGTAGATAGAAAAGGGAATATACATATGAGGGAAAACCTAGCAGACTGAAGAAGGCAGCTTAAAGCGGAAGTTGGGCAATAAATAATAATAATAAAAGAGGGAAAAAACCGATTGCAAGCAGATATTTTCCATGATCAGCGATAGACCTCATAAGCGCTTATCTAATTGCAAAGTAGGTCAATTATTACTTCCAGAGTTCTAAGTATTTGTCAGCAGGCAATACGAAAGTGACATCATAAGCTGGGGAGTTAGGATATATAAAAATATTTATACAGGGTATCTAATAGACTCATTCATTCAACTGAATCCCACGTTGTTTACTGAAGAATCGATTTCCTATGCCAAGCTAAAGAAGTGTTGATAGACATTCATGGTTTATCTTGGTATTTTACCATTTTTATGGCATGCTTGATAAATGTCCGACTATATTCCATACATATTATATGCGTACATATACTATATATGACACAGAAAACTCCGAGCTTCTGTGTTCCGATAGCTTTCGATGATGCTCCGCAATCGCTGAATAATAACAACAACAATTTGCATGGCGTATGCATAAGTGAAGAAGTCTCCTATATGCCACAGATCGGCTTTAAGCACTGCGCACTTCTCCATGCACCACTCACTGAGTGCGCATGTACTTTGGAGTGCTTCTCTGAAACGGAAATCGTACAATTGTCAATTGACTTGTAAATGGCATTTCTTATTTTTCGTATTGCCTTGGCTTTTGAGGGGCGCAGCTAAATGGACATGTGTTCTGCAAAGCCACATACATAAATCTTTGTTAAGATTTTTATATAATTTCCCAGTAGCCGAACAAAAGACCGATGGCTATCTGACGTATGTAACCCTGACCAAACGGTAGGGTGGTGTGGGGTGGGGTGCGGATTGACCCTCATCAGAGTTGGTGAAAGTGGAAAACAAAAAACTTATTTCTTGTGCTGTGTTTCTGCTGGTGTAACGAGATTTGATTGCGTCGGCTACCAGCAAGATTTATGGAGGCGAAACTCGTTTACATTTTCGTTTACATACCATCCATATCCATATACGGCTGTCATAATACCTGGCGACAAAGTGAACTTTAAGTGTTTACAAATCAAGTAGCAACCGTTCGAATTACAGCAAGTGAGCGGTAACTGAGATCGCTGTCAAAAGATGGGTATGCACTGGCCGAAAATAGACATCAATGTGAGGGCTTAAGCTCTCAATCAATCTCAATTTAACAACTGGGAGACTCGTTTGATATACGCGTTTCCTGGAAACCACGAAAATCTCAAGACTCAAATGTCAACTCGAATTCTAGCTACAAGATAGATGAGTGCTGCATGCTAGGCGAGACTGCTCATGTAGAAGTTACCCTGATGATCCCTATATAAAGATAAAAGATTATCTGTATATAAATCTTTTTATTTTCATGTTAAAGCTACGCTTTAAGCTTTACGGCGTCAAAATAGAATGGAATTAGATGTATTTAATTGAAAATAAAATATTGAAGTCATATTTATATATCTATGTTTGTTTAGGAAATTCTTTTAATATATCATATCATAACAAAATGTGATCCCTAGTTAGATTATTGCATCGTATATTAATTTATACTCATATAATATGCATATTCAATTCGTATTCATATTAACACTGAATATGTTAGTATACATTTGAATTTTAGTATTTATAWTTATATTATATTCATATTCATATATACATACTAATGCTGATACTGATATTTATGTTCAACTAAATTCGGCCCCAACTCCTTCCTTGCCTCGTCTCTCGTCGTCACTCCAACAGTTCCAACACATCTTTTTCTCACTGTGTAAGCCCCAGAGTGGAATGGAGCTTTGTCACACGCTCTGCCGTTTTTTCACGATCAATGCGAAAGCTTAATTCAATAATTTCGTAAACAAGTTCCATAATTTATTCAGACAAAGATCTTAAGAATCTCCTCACACATAGCTGCCAAGTTTCAGCCCCGACTTGTCATAACCAGCGGACATTAACATTAGCTTCTTATTTAATATAATTTTATTTTATTTTATTTATTTATTTTTGGGGCGCGAACCAGCAATAAAAACAGAGAGCGGGAGAGAAACACGATGTTGTATATAGACAATAATGATAGGAAAAGGCGATGACAGTCTCATATTGAGCAACGCGTCGAAAGTTTGCGGCTGTTCGCACAGAATGTTAATGATCCATTAAAAAGATTATGCGCCTCGACGGTCATACACCATATTTTGTTTTTGTTTTTTTTTTTTTTTTTTTTTCGACAAATGCCCCGGGCAACTAATAAACGAGGTGGTTAACATTTGTTCTACATTTTAAAAGTATTGTAAAAGATTATATGTATTGGGCAGGAATAATTGAGCTAATAATAATAATAATAAAGCAAAATGTCTCAAATACTACAGTTTCTAGCCATATATTTCGTATAACCAAATATGGCTAGAATTCAAATTTAGCGCATTTTATATATGAAAATATTTCCAGTGTTCAATATTTTCAGTAGAAAGCGCATTTATAATATACATATATAGAAATAATACCAAATCAGCATTTATATTAATACAAATATTAGAAGAGCTTAGGATTCAGGCCATAAAAACAAAGGCAAAAACAAATTTTTAAAGGGTATTTAATGTGTTTCATGACTTTCGAAACAGAACGAAAATGCTTAAAAATAATTGCTTTACAGATCAAACAAAATAATTAACATCAAAAGATTTGCAACCATTTAATATTTATTACAATTTAAAAACATTTTAGTCTAAGTAGAAATAGAAATTACAATTTTGCTTTATATAATAAGGAAAGTCAGCTATTTTTTGTATTTTAATTATTTACGAATATTTGCAGTTCATATACTCATACCATGGCTTACTTTGAAAAATATGATTTAGTTTATATATATAAATGCATTTCAAATCAAGGAGTAGTGCCTAGTCGAGCATGTCAGAGCTAAGATGAAAATAGTAAAAAATTATAAATCAATTTAGTTCACAAAAACTTGCACTCTATAGAGTATTGCCCAGTCAAGCATGCCTTAAGTCCGCAAAAGAAGGAATTGTAAATGAGCTTTTAAAGATATAAGAGCTTTATTAGCTTTAATGGTTTTTGCTCAGTCAGGCAAGATAATATAATCATAATTTGAAAATGAAAATTGATTTATTTTCACATAGGCATTTGGATGATACAGCGTATAGCATAGTCGTGCATGTTTCATTCTAAAAGCTTTAAAGGCTTTATGTTAGGGTATTTCCTAGTCGAGTATGTTAAAGCCAAACAAGATTATTTGTTCATCTGCTGTGCATATCAAATGCTGGCTTTCTATGTCAGAGCATACACACATACATGCATATAGATGTACATATATGTACATATATATGCACGTACACATTTTTTTGGGCGCTGGTGTCAAAGTTCGCTGCTTTGGGATTTAATGATGTGTGGATTTTAGCACCGCCTATCGCCATAATTAAAGCTCATTACATTAATTGTATATGAAGACTGAAGATAAGCATAAAGTGAATCTAGAAGACAGCGAAAAATATATATATGTATATGCTTATCTATATACATATATGATATGTATATATATTTGCTATTAACATATATATTCTATTAAAGCAAAGAAATTTTCTTAAGTAGAATACAAATTGATATCATTTCATTTGATTTATATAGATATATATTTATATAGAGATATGTATATATACATACATGTTTACAATTGCCTGTTTTTTAATGAATTCCGCTTTCCTGGATTGAGCATAAACACATGATCATGCTGTGCCATAGCCATGGCTATACTTGTGATTCTATAGTTTCTTCATTCAATGATCTCATGCACTATTTGTGACGCAGAAAGTTTTATATAATATAAACATATCTCTCAAATCTCTTGCAGATCTGGCAAACGAAACGCGTGCAACAGCTTGAAGATGATCTGGGCGCTTTGAGGCGGGATGTGAGTAGCTTGCGGCAAAGACTGGGCATTGATGTTGTGGAGGAGTATATGGAATTTGAAAAGGAGGTGAGCCCAAGTCTACGAAAATAATTCACATTTCTATTCATAGTAGTCCAAGCATTGCGTCACATTCCCAACATATTTTATATATAAATATCTATATGGGACATGTGTATTTATAGATATATGAAAAATGCTTTATTTTTGACAAATGGTTGCGAAGTGATAGATGTAGATTTAAATGGGAACCGTTAGTTCAGGGGGCCATAAAATACTTTTGCCATTTATTAATGGGTATTTCTGACAAATCACTCAAGCAGCGAAAGACATAAGCCAGAAGCTCTTAAGAGCTAACACTCAATTAATATTTAATCGATTTCGACCATACATTCTTCTGTGCTATAATTTATGATGCTGGCTATTAGAGCCAAGGCAATTGCTAAATGGATTTCGTGTTGAAATTATTTACTTATTAGAGGAACGCAAAGATATGTAATTATTAAGCATATATAGCAATAAGTGTTGACTGATCTGAACTGAACTGGACTGATCTGATCTGATCTCATCAATGGAATCATGGATAGATCGTTTCAAAACTCAAGAGAGCTGTGCATGTGAGGCAATCTAAATGGGTAAAAGAATATAATGTGCGCATATATACATATATCTATATACATGCTAATGACAGCGTCTCTAGAGAGTTGGGGGAAGGCGCCAGCAATTAAAACCAAAGCAAAAAAAAAAAAAAAAATGAAATGAAATGAAAAAGTATTATTTAAATGAGTACGCGTATTTATAAATATATATGAGAGACACACACACACACGCCCATTTGTGAAATATGCATTAGAGCCATAAGTTATGGGGCCAGGTCCCCTCTGGCAGAGGCAAGCCACAAGTCACGTACTTGTGGCCCAAGTGTTTGACCCACAAATCTTATGGCATCCACTTTATATTATATTATACGAACCTGCTCATCCATGATCCCAAATAGCACGACGAACTCGAGAACTACGGCAGCTACGATGACAATGTTGATGATGATGATGCTGGGGTGGAGGATGGTGCGGACAGATCGAACAGTTACGAGGACGAGGATGATGAGGACTCGGGCAACGAGCAAACGGACATGGAGGAGTACTTGGATATGATTAATCAGGAAAAGAGTGCGACTCAAGCCCTCTCACCAGACAACAGCAGCGATAAGTCGGACACAGCGGCATCCACCGCCACCTCCAGCTCCAGCTCATCGGCATCCAATGATGATAATGTGTTTGAGGACTTCACTAGCTATAACGATTCCAAAAAGAAGAGGGAACGGTAAGTAATTGATTAAATAGTATAAATATTATATATCAAAGCCTAAATCTGTTTCTAAATAGAAAAACTCGCTCCATTGCCGAGATGCGCAATGAGCTGCCGAGCAACGAATTAGCAGAAATTGCGAAGAACCAAAGCCGAAGTGCTGAGCAGACAAAGGAAAGGTATGTTAAAATAAAAAATATGAAATATGCACTCAAAAAGGAAATTACACTCTTAATCATTTAAATATATATTTCAATTTTAAATCAGCAAAAGCATAATTTCCTTAATAAGCAATACTTCTCTTCATTGGCATTTTTATATAAATAGTTAAGAGTACAATTACCCTTTTGGGAATACCTATGTTCTCTATATCTGTATTACTCTCATTTTACATGTGAACTCTGTTCATATGCGCGCCAATATGAACGTCTTATTTCAAAGTCTAACAATAGGTGTATCAACCATTTAACCATTTAATAATATGGCCTAACTACTTTCCTAACATGCACAGAGGACGCGACCGATCAGCAGGGCAGACGCGCACAGACTAAAATGTCCCCACTGAGCGCTTATGCTAAGCCGGCACTGCAATAGTTACCCACACTAATACTAATAAGCACTAGATTGAGAGAGAGAGAGCGAGAGAGGGCAGTTATAACTCTTTAACCTTCAAATGCACCTAGTATGCTTATGCTAAGCTGGCACTGCAATACTAACTCACACTAATACTAATACGAACTAGAGAGAGCACGTCTGAACTATACAAACCGCTCACGCACACTGACTGACAAGGAGATCGTACGAGTTGCAACCAATGACGTTATGCGAGTGAACATTTAAATTCCCTTCTTCTCTCTTTTACTCAACTGAAAGCATTATAATTGGGAATCTAAAGCGCGCCTGACCAATGGCGTCGGAGTAATAAAGATCAATGTTTGGCATTAAGTTTTGCTCCAGTGGACAAAAATTGAATGTTTAAGTTGAGCGATTAAAAATATAATAACATACTTGTATAGATATACCTTATAAAGTCACAGAAGTCTCTTAGGAACATTTAGCATCTTAACAAAACGGCATTTATTAAAGGATATTTATTTTTAATTTCCTCCTACAGCACTGTTACTCCCAATAGCAACACTAAGCAGCATCTGCACAAACAGCGACCACGCACACGGGAGGGCCGTCAACGACTTTTAGTACGCAAAGGTGATTATTTATATATATACCTATAGTCGCATTTTAATTGGCAATATCTATAGCAACCAAAATATTCCTTCACTGTCATATGTGCGTTTGTTAATTCGCAGGCGAATCTCCTGTTTCAGCGAAATCCGCAGATTTCCCTGCCGCAAGCCGAGCAGCTGCACATTTCCACTTGAATCGCAAAGTGCCGCAACACGAGTCCCCCATTCAGGTGCACTGTGAGTATTACTTGTCTAAATATACATACATATATACACGTGTGTACAATAAATTTATATGATTCAAATTTCCTTTTATCTACAGCTTATCACGGTGATATGTATATGGGGCATCCCACGGCCAGCAGCGACAATCAGTGGCAGCAGCATTTCAGTGTTCACAATGGCATCCTGACAGTCCATCAGGCGGGTCTCTACTACGTCTATGCCCAGATATGCTATAATAATACGCACGATCAGAATGGCTTCATTATCTTCCATGAAAATAAGGCATTCCTGCAATGCCTCAATACGGTGCCCACGAACATGCCCAAGGTGCACACCTGCCACACAGGTGGGCTAATTCAGTTGCAGCAGCACGAGTCAATACATGTGCGCGACATCCATCGGGATCGGAATGTAATGCTCCGGGATAGCAACAATCGCAGCTTCTTCGGCATCATTAAGCTCTAAGCGAATATTTTCTGCACCGAACTTAAGCTTTAGTAGTTGCGACTACTCAGTTATACGAATACGTATATACAGCTGAGTAGATGAACTAGCCTAGAATTTATTTACACTAAACATGTATCTCTCTATATACACACACACACATTTATATAAACATATATATAAATATATATTTATATACCTATCTATTCATAAACTTAACATGCATATAATATCATATTTATTTTGTATATACATTTATATATTTCTAATTAATACAGAAATGAAATTGCCATAATAAAGAGTTTAATAAAATTATATTTTAAAATGCATTTTTTAATTACATTTAATAAACGAGATAAGGAAAAGGATAAGATCAGGAAAATTAAAATATATTCATATAATCTGCTGCAAAAAATAAATACGCAGACTGTCAAATGATTTTTTAATGCAATTATAGCAAATACTTCTGATTCTGGGTTTCATAAATATTTTCGTTGATCTGAGCGCGCCCAGTTTTATCTTAAATTTCCTTATATATATATACTTTTATCCACTCAACTCAATCTTTAAAGTATTTGAAATCCACTTTCTGTCATTTGGCAAAGCAGAGAACAGAAAAAAGAAAACCAGAGCGGACCTCTTGATAATAAAGCCTCTTAATAAAAAAGAGTAAATCCTTTGGCTCAAACAGACATTTCTACACAATTTATCTGCTCTAAGCTTGTTTCTTCTGCTTTATTTTTGTTTTTTTTTTTTTATCTTATTTGACAAGCACAAAGCGCACATAACATGGTCAATCCTGGCGAATGGATTCTGTCCGGGTTGCCGGACTCATTCACAGATGTTCCATTGCTGCTTAACAAAATGTGACGTCAAATGGAAAAATTAAGTTGCACTCACACATACGTGGACATGGATGGGTTGGGAGCGGGAAGTGGAAATGGAGCTGGAGCATGCATAGATTGAGTGGACTTGGCTCATGCATTCCAGCTTCTATCCAGGACAAAATTCAGCTGCAGCTCAATGCCCAAAAATAGATGCAATTGAAGCTGCATTAGCTTTAAGCTGCAGCTCCATACACACACACACATACAGACAATAGCCACACACACACATACACACAGATTGATATCCGGGCCTCGGCCAGCGGAAGTAATTGCCGAATGAATGCCATTTCGCATGTAACAGGTGGGCGTATTAGGGTGGTCCAGGGTGGTCTTCGGCTGCTGGCTGAAGCAACAGTTCGGCTCTGTGCAGAAATCGGTTTAGCATTGCCCCAGGCAATGTCGAGCCTTCCACCAGCTGCTGCTGCTGCCTCCTCCATGCTGTATGTACACATACATCCAAAAATGAGTATTTTGAAGAAGAAGAAGAAGAAGTTGAAGCTGAAACAGAATCACTTCCCCGTCTAGCCCGAAGTCTCGCCCATGCGCACTCCAATCAATCCAACTTTCGATTGCATTTGCAAAGCTTTACATCAGTCGCTCGTAGGTGTCGCTTGCGATTTGGCTGTGGCCCAGGTGCATAGTGTCTCTAGTGTGTGTGTGTGTGTGTGTGTGTGCCAATTTATTACAGCTAAGCAAATTGCAGCTCAACTGCCGCTGAGGCTATGGTAAGCTTTGTCTTTATCATATAAAACAAATTTGATTTTCTGATTTTTTGCTCAGCCAACAGGTGGCAGATTTTTCATTAACAATATTATAATTATATATATACATGTGTATGTATACATATAAAAATTGTTTTATAATAATTTAAATTATTTAA